ACAGGTAGTGAAAAATATTGTTTTTAAAGAAATTTTTTTTGAATTTATGATTTACAGAATGTAATTTTTTAAATTAACCATTTCTGTGACTACTTTATGAGACTGAAAAATTTCTTTTCTCTATATTTACATTATACTTTACAATTTATCAGAAATTTAAATTATTTATCCAAAAAGTTTATAAAATAGAACCCTTAAATAAAATCCATTAATAAAGTATTTAATCAACAGACTATAAACAATTATAAGTAAATTAGTACGGAGTAGCATAAAGATGAGTATAATTTAAAATAAATAAAAAAAGCAGAAAATGATTAGTGCAAGAGAGATTAGAGCGTAAATCAATCTCTCTTATTAAACATTCATAATTTTTTTTACATTTTGAATCGATATGAAATAAAAAACACAAGAAATCATTTTTTAAAATGAAATGAATAAAATGGAAATTGAAAAAGGAACAGAAGCAACGAAGATGGCCGCTTGCGGCGCTAGTTTTTCTATAAAAATTATTAAAATGCCTCGTCGGAAGAGGTATCAATTCTTTCAAGAGCTAGCCCAAAAGCGATGGAAAAATACTGATTTAGATGAGATAAATTACTCTTTGGAAATAAGCGACACCTTGGAAACAAATCATGTTTGCGCTGAAAATGATCCAAATGAGCTTCCTAAACAGAATGCTCGAATTCAGGCAAAATTTGAAGAAGTAAGTAAAGAAGAAAACGACGAGAATAGTGATTTTCAATACGTACTTTTAGATGTTGCACAGTTGAATTCTTTCTTAGAAAAAGTAAAATGTGTAGATTGTAATGAAACATCATTGGGGTTTGAGGTAAATCGAAAACAATCATATGGGATCGCTAGCAAAATTGCTTTATTATGTGAAAACTGTAAGGTCAACGGCTTTGAAGAAATAAAATCAGAAACGTATTCTTCAAAACGTTCAAATAACGAAGATACATCTCGTGTTCCGTTTGACATAAATTTGCGAATGTCTATACAACATTTCTATTTATGGGTAAAGGATATACTGCAATTCAACAGTTTTCTACAATTACACAGGTTTACAATGAAATTGTCACTCGAACAAAACATTTTTTTTTGGTTAATATGTGTTTTTTGAGTAAGAAAATCATATTTAAAATTTTTTTCCCTCGTGCAATTTTTTTGGAACAGCAAATTATGCATTTTCGAGGTGTGACGTCACATAAAGTCACCGGTAGAGAAAGCAGTTAATCCAAATGTATAAAATAAATCACCATTTGAAAGATAATTAAATTACCTCTCAAACCATTGGTCAACCAATAAAATCCATTCAAAATTGTCAGAGTTACAGTCGATCAAAGTTCAAATTTCAAGCAAATTTTAATGATTTTTTGACATTCGTCTAACTTTTGCTAATTTTTTCAAAGTCAATAAACAAAAAAATGCAGGTTTTAAATTTTTTATTAATAGTATATTTAATTACGAAACTTTTAAGCCTTTATAGACCTCGATCGGATAAAAAATGACAATTCTACACTAGATTTATTGAACAAAGTACTTTTTTACTTTTAGTATATTTTCAAGTGATTTCGATCTATATCAGTTTTGTATAAAACTAAGTTAAGCGAAGCTAACCAAAATGAGTTTACTCAGGGGTTTTTGAGGTCGCTGATTACGAATTCGAGGTCAGTTTTTGAAAATTCAAAATGGCGGATCCAATATGGCGGACAAAGTTTTAATAATTAGAGCTAAGTACACCAAAATGAGTACTCGGGGATTTTCGTGGTCGCTGATTACGAATCTGAGGTCAGCTTTTCAAAATTCATAATGGCGGATCCCGTATATTATAATTTTATTTACGTTATCGCGTAGTGACAATATCTATAGTCTGGTTTGATTTTATTTCAAATAGTACTATATTTTATATAATTGGAAAATCCCCCACGAAAACTCTCGAGTACTCATGATGGAGTACTTAGCTCTAATTATTAAAACTTTGTCCGCCATATTGGATCCGCCATTTTGAATTTTCAAAAACTGACCTCGAATTCGTTATCAGCGACCTCGAAAACCCCTGAGTAAACTCATTTTGGTTAGGTTCGCTTAACTTAGTTTTATACAAAACTGATATAGATCGAAATCACTTGAAAATATACTAAAAGTGAAAAAGTACTTTGTTTAATAAATATAGTGTAGAATTGTCATTTTTTATCCGATCGAGGTCTATAAAGGCTTAAAAGTTTCGTAATTAAATATACTATTAATAAAAAATTTAAAACCTGCATTTTTTTGGTTTATTGACTTTGAAAAAATTAGCGAAATTTAGACGAATGTCTAAAAATCATTCAAATTTGCTTGAAATTTGAACTTTGATCGACTGTAACTGTAACAATTTTGAATAGATTTTATTGGTTGACCAATGGTTTGAGAGGTAATTCAATTATCTTTCAAATGGTGATTTATTTTATACATTTGGATTAACTGCATTCTCTACCGGTGACTTTATGTGACGTCACACCTCAAAAATGCATAATTTGCTGTTCTAAAAAAATTGCACGAGGGAAAAATATTTTAAATATGATTATCTTACCCTAAAAACACATATTAATCGAAAAAAAAATGTTTTGTTCAAGTGACAAAAAAAAATTTGAAATTTGTAAACCTGTGTTATGAGCTTACATTCTTTTTCACAGACGACCTTTGATAAATACTTAAAAAGAATAGATTTTTGTATTGATGAGGTCACGCAAAAACTTTTAGATGAATGTCGGTCTCAAGTAAGAAAGATCTATAAAAATAAAGATTTGAAAAAAATAAACGAGGATATAGATCGCATGGAAGAAGAAGCAGAAGTAGAAGGTGGAGAAGAGGGAAAAGAAGAAGAGGAGGAGGAAGAAGAAGCAGAAGAAGAGTCGCAAACAGAAATTGAGGAATCAAATGAAGAAATTGTAGACGCTGAAGTTAGTTACGATGGTTCATCGCATACCCGTGGTTACAAATCTAAACACGGTGTCGGCTGCGTTATTGACATCGAATCAGGATTCGCCATTGATTTTGACAGAATGACAAAATATTGTCATACTTGTGCAATTGCTGCTGCTGAGATAGAAGAAGACTCTCCAGAATTTGATGCTTGGTTTGAAGGCCATGCGGAATCTTGTCAAAGAAATCACAAGGGATCTTCTGGCGCCATGGAAGTTGCCGTTGCTGAGAAGATTTGGAAGCGATCAGTAAAATATGGTTTTCGTTTTATACAAATCCTCTCTGAATGAGACGCAAAGACGTATAATCATTTGACAAATCTGAATATCTATGGAACCGAACATCCAATCACCAAAGAGGAATGCATCAACCATGTCGGAAAGAGGTAAGTAGAATGTTTTTAGATCTAAAGACATTCTACTACATTCCATATGTAAAAATATTCCCGGGAAATTCTTGGGAGTTCCCGAGAATTCCATTAGAAAATTTTCTAGGGATCCACTCCCAGAAATCAACTGCCGAAAGTTTCTCAGGAATATTTTTACGTCTTTTGTCACGTCAATATAAATATCTTCATATTTTTATTGTAAATAATCTCGATGTTATTTATAATAAAAATACAGCAATATAAAAATCAATAAGATCGGAAGTAAATGTTTTTTATTTGCTCTTTCAGATTATACAGTAGTCTATGTAAGCTTGTTCAGGAGGAAAAAGCTCGCAAAGTGACACTTTCTGGAAGAGGTCATGGGCAACTAAAGAAAACAACAATCCAAAAACTGTCAGAGTATTATAAGAAGGTCATTTATAGAAACAAAAATAATATCAATGTAAATATGCATCTTATTGAATATATACATATATATATAAATATAAATATATATATATATATATATATATATATGTGTGTGTGTGTAAGTATATACGTGAACCTGTGGAGTATGCTTTGTAATTTTTAATGTTTGTATGAATGTACGATTCTAACGATTGTGTTAAATTTTCATAATTATTAATAAAAAAAATTTCCAGATGATGTAAATTTTTCTTAGTGTATAAACTATAACCATTATATTTATGGTCATTTTTTAGCCATGATAAATATATCTGGCGGCAATATTTGCTCTTATTTTCGTATTTACTTCAACAAATTACGTGAACAACGTGAATATTAGATTGTGCGACTGTCATATTTTATAATATAGATGGTCTTTTTTATGGTAGTTAGGGGTTTTTTGAATTTTTCTCAAATAGTAATTATTTTTGTTAAAAAATGCATAATACAAAAAATACGTATTTTAATCAGATCTACAATTTTTATTTCAAGATTTTTTTATATATCATGAATTTATTGAGATAAATGCAAAAAACCATATTTTTCATGGGTTTTACCACAACAATAAGGTAACCTCAAATCACTATGTTATTTGTAATAAACACCTCAAACTACGTAAAAATATGTGGTTTAAAAGAAAATAAAAGTTAATAGCTATCGATATTTCATCAAAATTGAGAAATTTGAATATTAAAAATGCTTCTTCTCTTACATTTTTTATATTTTTCGACGCTAATTTTTTTCCAAGCATATTTTGTAATTTGAAATAACCTCTCGCATGGATTTAAAAAAATATAGAACTGGTGAACAAATAAAAATTCTAAACTCATCAAAACTTGAAATTTTTAATTTTTGACCACCCTATGTGTTTTTAAGTCGAAAATGATGGAAGAAAAAAAATATAACCTCCTCTGATAATTTAAATTTAATGGGGTCAACTATAAAGGTTGTGACTCCCCTTAACTGTAAAAAATCAGAAGTTTGTAGGTTTTTTGCTATTTGAACTATTACCTGTTGATAAATAGTAAGTTGTTTTTAAGTTTCCCTTTCTTCTAAAAAAAATTACATTTTTATTTTTATATTTTTTTTTTGGTAGAGAGCGGATTGCCTAGATGTTAGTTTTGTGGAAGATATCGAACACTGTGAAGGAAAAGTACTTATTATCATCGAATTCATACTTATTTTTATATCATTTATTTGACTTAAAAGATTGCAATTAAAATTTAACAAATTTTTAAGTATTTTACAAATCCAGTTAAAACTCAAATTCCTTGAATTTAAATTAAAAACATATACAGTGGATGTAGAAATTAATGACACCATATTTTTTAAACAATCTGTAGTTATTGCAGGTTTTGCATCATTGTCACTATTTTTTTTGGTCGTTATGTTTATTCTATATAATTTAAAATATTTCCTAAATTTTGAAATACGAAAAAGAGTTGGAGAGCCTATTTTTGTTATCATGAGTGATGAATTAGTAGGAATATTAACTAGGAAAGAACTATGGGATAGTAGGGTAAAATATTTTACCTCGCTTTTTCTTGGCCAGCAAGAATTCGGCGAGGTGTCAATGTACCCTCAGCTTGGGAATTTAGAATAAAATGCGCATGTCAGATCATAATTTTTAAATTGACAATATTGTACATCTTTACGCAACCAATCCTTATTATTCTGTATGTAATCTAACTGTTTCAGCTCCTGAGGACAATTAGCAGATACTGATTCCTTATTGGCAAAAATTGTAACCATGAACTTCCCTGGTTTGAACGTATTCAAAACTCGATTAATTATTTCCTTGTAAGAAACTTCAGAAACATCGCTTTCAAAAGATACATACGAAAATTCTGGTTCAGGTGTTATATGTATCGTCATGTAGCTACCCTGAAATAGAAATAAAAATGACATTATGTTTTTAATGATTATTATACTGTTTCTATAGAAGTAATAATTTCCAATTTCTTTAAATATTTAAATCTATTGACTCGGGTAAAATTTATTGACATTTGAAAATTATGTCGCAAAAGAATTGAGCCCCTAATATTATGGGAACCACGCATTACACCGACCTAAAAACATATCCTATATTCTGGTTTTTATGTATACTTTAACATATTTTCATTGACAACAAAATTTTGTCTTAGCCTATAAAGAAAAAGAATTAAAACATTAAAACTTAACCTGAAGAAATAAAATAAAAATGTATAATTTTATCCTAAAGCATCCTGAAGAAAAAGAACAGAAACATTTAAAATCTTATTACACTGAAAAAGGTTTGGCGGAACAGTTAAGACAACAACTTTAGGCAAATAGTCGCATCACGCAAAGTTGATTCGTTCACTCAGAAAGGCAAAATATTCACCCAAAAGTAACAGTGAACGACTTGCTTTTATTTAACGCGACAGTTCTATGCTGTGAGCAACTCTGTCCACCAATGTTTTTTCAGTGTTGTTTTATTCAGAATTTGCCTCACAGTTGCAACTTTGACAAGTGAAATAACATCCTTTGTATGTGTTGATTAAAAATAAATATTTTTCTATAGGCAATTTTTTTACAATGCTCGTCTTAATCTACATACCTCGCTGTTATTTTTTTGATGATATGCAATTGTTTATAGATGATAATGTATGTTATGTTACGATGTCAAAATTACTAGTGACATTTCTTTATTCTATGTGCGACTGAAACCGAAAAGTAAACCTCGTACTTCTTCACTTATTATATTCTTATTTAAGATTCTGTCGTTTGTTAAATTTTATTTTGTTTAAGTTCTTTGGATGCAGCCAAACACTAGCGCAATTTAAGAATACCAATAGAATCTGAGTAAGAAGAATCTGAAATACAACTTAAAATTACTATTAAACCTACTGGAGCAACAAAAACCAACAGCCTCTTATTAATAGTTGTTTGAAAATATTTTATATTATTTTATTATTCAACACTCCAAAGCTCAACTTTGCATGGCCAATACAAAATTAGTTGTATTTTAAAACATAGTTAATTGCATATCGGCAAGTGCGCATGTATTGTAAAATACAGTAGGACCAGAGATGTGAGTTGCAGATTGAATTTTTATTATTTCCGGTATTCCCTCACAAAATGTGCTAATTTCTATAGGTTTTTCCGTTACTAAGATATACTGGTTTTCGGCGTATAAAGGCATGAAGATAAGTTCTTGTACTTGAAAAATTGAGACATGGCAAATTTTATCATCCAAAAGTTTTACACTTGACCTAAGAACTTCGCTTTCGCAGGAATGAATTTCGCTTAAAAAGTAACTTGGTTGAGTCCTTTTACAAAATTTAACATCTCCTGCTTGTTTGCAGTTTTCAATTAGTTGTTTATCGCTAGGAACATAAAAGGTGTTTTCTTGATTAATTAATATAAACTCGTGAGAAGGAATTGCTTCTAAGAAAGCTTATCCGTGAGGTACTGGTATGGGAATGAGATGCAAACAATGAAGGATTTCGGGTTCAGGTACGGGGATTAACAAGGTATATGTCAATTTTCTGTCTATTATTATTACTGAGAGTTCAGATATGTCGATTATGTATTGGTAATTGTAGTCGTTTAGACTGATGGGGTATTTAATGTTTTGTTCCTCTTCCAAGTTTTTTTAATTTAAACATCAATAGCTTTGGTGTCAGAAGTTGTGGGTGGATAATTCCACGTTTACCGTCGTTAATTGCATTTATTAAAAGGTTGATGTCTTCGTTCGTTAATTTCTTCTAAACAAATTGAAAAACCGAGTAACTGGTTAGTAAGGTGGAGATTTTGTTGGTTTCTATTAGTGGTATTTATTAGATCGTTTATACTGACCATTACTTCGTTGTTGATTCTGTTAATGTTATGAGAGCTAGGATTAAGAAAACTGCGTATAATTATGGTTCTGTTCCCTACACTTTGAGAAAGCTTTGCGTTCTCTTCGTATAGATTGTCCATGTTGTCGTTTATTAAAGTCAAGTCACTTTCTGTTAATGTTCCAAAAAGTGTCTTGGCTATTGAACCTATACCATTGATTAAACCTCTTCTTTGTCGTGGACGTACCAAGATGTGATCGAGATGTCCATAAAGTTTCTTCAATCTATGGAATCGACCTGAGAAAAACTCTATTTGTTTCTTCTCATAACATTTACTTTTACATTGTTGTTGTAAAAGCTCTCTATATATATTAGAGTATATATTTGTGTTATTCGATTATATATATCTTGATTATCCACGATATTTATAATTTTCCAATTTTTATGGTATAATTGGGCCTGTCCCAGGTTTTTTAGCGAACATTGTTAGGCCGTTCAGTGGCTTTAGTGATATCTTCGCATCAGAGATGGAAATTAAGAGTAGTACAAAAGTGAGTTGCATCTGTAACAATTAGAATTGTTCTTTAATGCGATTGGCATGGATTACCGTGCGTTGATTATTGAAAAGTATTTCGTAATTATTATGAGGCAAGATTTTAACTATTGTGGCTGGTCCTTTCATTCTGAACTAAGCTTATGTTCTTTAGTATTTAGTACTTTTACTAAATCTCCGCATCCGGGTATAAATAATTTTTGGGGGAGAGCAATACGTCTTGTAACCTTTTGTGTCGTTCCTTGTTTCTTTCTATTATAGCCTTGGCACAATTCATATAACGTTCATGTCTCTATTGCCACATTCGTATTAGTTCCGGATATTTCAGACTAGGCGTAGTGGCTAGAGCCGATGGGATATTATTCCGAATGTAATTTGAAAGGGACTAAACCCTGTTCTTTCGTGAACCATGGTATTATAAGCCATACAAAGAAATTTAAGAGTGTCATCCCATTGTACATTTAGATCGGATATGGCAGTTTTAATAAGATCTTTTACTGTGGCATGGGTTCTTCTAAACTTCCATTGGACTGAGGATGAAAGGCAATAGTTTTGATGTGTTTTATCCTAAAAAAATCGGCATTGAAGGTACGTTCATTTGTTCTAAATTTGGTTCTGATGTTGAAAGGTCTCGTGAAGATGATGGTACTGAAATCGGTGTAAAAGCTGTGTGTGTGTTTGTTCCATGTTGGGTTCTGGTGTTGAGAGATTTCGTTCCTCTTTGTTTTCAACTGTTTCTAACTCCGGTAATTCGGCTTCAAGGTTCATAGCTAATTTATTTAACTCTTCTGATGATAATTCTTGGATGGAGAAAACATGAGATAGTGTATCCGCAGCTTGGTTCTCTGAACCTTTTTTATATTCGATTTCATAATCAAATTCCTCTAATCTCAGTCTCCATCATCACTTGAGTTTGGAAGAAGGATCTTTAACAGTAAACAACCATTTCAATGCTTGGTGGTCGGTTAGAATTTTGAACCTTTTTCACAATAAGTATTGCCTGAGTCTTTTTACAGCCCATACTATAGCAAGAAGCTCTTTTTCTTTAGTGGTGTAATTTAATTCTGGTCTATCGAGAGTTCGCGAAATGTAACAACAAGGGTGGCCATCTTGAGATAATATGGTTCCGACTCCTACATTGGAAACATAAATGGTGAGTTTAAACTCTTTCGAAAAATCTGGGTATTTTAGAACGGGTGAAGTGCATAGTAAATGCTTTAACCTTTCTAATGCTTCATGTCAATTATTATCCCACACAAATTGGATTCCCTTTTTTGTTAATTCGGTTAGAGGTTTAGCGATGGTGCTATAGTTGAGGATAAATTTTCTATAATAGACCTGATAGTCCAAGAAAACTTTTTATATAAGTAACAGTTTTTGGTAACTTAAATTCACGTACTTTTTGAATTTTGTTGGTATTAGGTTTCACTCCCTCAGAGGTTATCACAAATAGTGTTCAATAGTGTTCTGGAACATTATTTGAACATCCACGTTCTTAAAATGTTCTAAAATATTATTGGGCGAATCGACAATAGTGAAATCTCGGGTTAAAACAGCAGATTGGAATCTCAGATTAACTTTTCCAATACTTTATCTACGTTTAATTGTACTCACATCACAAATTTGGATTTGCTTAATGAACTCTTAATTCATTATCAAAATGTTAGAGGATTAAATACAAAGCTAAGTATTTTATCTTCTTCCTTGGACGTTTCAGACTATGATATTTTAATTTTTACTGAAACTTGGCTTAAGGATTCCACCCGTGACTCTGAAATTTTCGACCTTGACATTTTTAATATTTACAGAGATGATAGACTAAACAGAGTTGGGGGTGCCGTTCTTATCGCGATTAAATCTAGATTTATCTCAAGCTACGTTAATATAACAAATGTACTTTTCTCATCGCCGTATATTAATGTTGTCGCGTGTAAATTGTTTTGTGAATCGAATCCAATTATCATAGTTACAATCTATATAACACCAAATATTCCTTTAAATGAATTTGATAACTTTTTTGAATCCTTATCAAATGTATGCGCTTCTTGGTCATGTAATTATATAATTATCGGTGATTTTAATATTCCAAATCTAAAACAATATGTTACTACTGGAATACATGACATTAAATCTACTATATTGCACAGCTTTTTAGATATACATAATCTCTATCAATACAATGATATTCACAACATTAATGATAGATTTTTGGACTTGGTTATAGCGTCATTTCCCTGTGAAGTTTTAAGTAATGAGATTCCACTATTACCTGTCGACGATTATCACCCCCCACTTATTATTCAATTTGAAACAGTGATGTCTCCTCATAGAAGAGATACTCGATTTTTAAGAATGTTAACGATAAGAAGTTCAGATTCAAAAATTGCGATTTTACCACCTTCAAGCTTAGTCTTTCGAATACTGATTGGGGATTTCTTAAAGATATTTATAATGTCAACGAACTAATTGATTTGTTTTATAATAAAATTTACGAATTGCTCGAGAAACATATAGGGATCGTTACATATAAC